GTCTTTCACCTTCACCCCTGTTAGCTATTATTGACAGACTCGGCTAAAAAAGTGATGCCCAGTTGGTGTTTAGCCCCTAGAACTAAAAAATATGGCATAAAGACGTGAAAAGGAGAACAGGCTAAGTGACTCTCAGAACAAGCTTCTAGCCATCTGAAATCAATCATGTTGTCCGTGTTCCTCAGAAGGCTGATTGGGCCTTCCAATGTCCTCAACTTGAGCTATTAATTCACTGACACCATATGTCAACTTTTATTGAAAAAAAAACAAACATTAAACAGTGCTTAAAGAAATAAAAAGATTCCTTTCTGTTCTAGTATTAGAATTGTTTTGTTGTCTTGGCCAGCCTTTTGTCACTGTCAGATCGTTTTTTGCTGCAGTATTCATAAAAACAAATGTTCACATTGTTTCACAATTCTTCTGAAACCTTCAACCTCACTTTTTAGTGGAAACTTTTTGTGATAAACCAACTGAGGGGGGCGTTGGACTAGTGGATTAGGGCATTGCGCTTGGGTTCCAGAGGTTCTGAGTTCAAGCCCCACTCCCACAGACTGCTACTCTGGAAAGAGAGCATTAATCAGAGAAAAATATCCTATGGTAATTAGGAAAGAGCTGCAGCAATCAACAGCGTAGGTTGGACAATCTGTGTAATTCACAGGTAGTAAATAGTTGTATACTCCTCTGGCCTTTATGGTAAAAAAGTAAACCAAAGTTCAAGAAAAAAATTGTGAGAAGTCTTGTTTGTAGTACCAAATGTGAAGTAAGATACTATGGTCCGATGTAACAGAAAACATCCCTTGTCATAACAGTTCCCTTGTCATAACACATTACAGTTCATGGGATAGGTTGACCTGACGTCCTGTTTTTCCAGGACATATCCTAATTTTCAGACCTAAAAAAAATGTCTGGGGGGAATCTCAAAATTGTCTGGAATTTTGGTCAAATATACAGTGCAGCACATAGTTCAAACACACCGGGCACTCAAACAGAGCGGTTAGCTCCAGGACCGGGCCTCCTGCAGATTGGGGCAGGGAACCGGTGGGGGACGGAGCAGCCAAGCCCGACCCGGTAAATGCAGCCTGGACAGCGTGCTACCTGACTGGACCGGAGAGCTCATGGCTCTCCGGTCCAGTCAGCAGCCCAGCAGTCAGAAACCAAAATCTGGTCACCCTATCATGGAAAGATGGATGAAGCTAAATGCATATTGTAAACTAAATGTAAGACTACAGCAGAGGTTGACTTTTCAGCAGGGCAACAACTGAACATTCAGCTGGCGCTGCAACAATTTCAGATCAAAGGACATCCATGTGTTAGATGACATCCAGTCAAGACAAAAGAGCAATTAAAATTGCAAGGCAAGCCTTGAAACTACTGTTTGCTAATGCTTTGCATCCAGTGGTTGATCTCTTGTGCAAAAAGAATGGGCAGAAAATTGAGATCAAGACCTGCATAGGTGGAAGAGATCCCATAAGGGTAGCAGTTGTGCTGGCAGCAAATGTGGCTTTTAGTGTATTGACTTTGAGTGGCTGAATAAAAATTAACACAACACAGAGTTTTGCTAGCACAAAAACCCAAAACAAAAAAGAAATCATTTTCATTACACTTCATGTTGCAGTTTGTCTTTGTCTCTTATGTAAAATCCCAAAGAAGATGCATAGAATACATTCACAGTTTCGGTTGTAATATGCTCACTCAGTATGTCTGTAATTGATATACAAACCTAATATTTTTGCATTAGACTTCTTGTTTCTAAAGGGGAAAAAAGCAATTATTCAGTATCCATTGTCCATGCAGTATGTAGCAGGAGGCTATGAGGACAGCCCAGGAGCAGAGAGGAAACATTCTGCCATAGTAACAGCTGACAGCTGGGAGCAAACAGTCATACTACTTTATAACCAGAGTTGATCAGATTTGGCATTTACTCCGCTCAGCATGTTTAGCTGAGGATGCAGATTGTGGCCCACGCTTAGGCAGACCAGCCCATCCAGGCACACCACTAGCCACTGAGGGAAAAGTAAAGTGCAACCACCAAGAAGGCGAGAATCACCAATTATCTCCACCTCTTCGCTTGTAGCAGGAATCCATTTCAGCATCATTACCTCTGGGCAGCCATAGGCTGACAGTTTCTCCCGTCAGGGTGATACCTCTAAATTGGCTCCCACCCCTCTCCTCCTCCTGTGATTGAAAAGAGATTATTAAAGACATTCATCATAAAAGAAGCCCAAGCCTTTCTGTAAAGTGGGAAAATGTTGAGAATTTGGAGCACAATGCAGTGTGCCTGCAGAAAGAGAAAAAACTGTGACACAAACGAGGGGAAATGATATAGACATATGAGTGAGCGGAAGGCTTGGTGCTTCAGCTTCTTCCATGGTGCCAGACAGGGAGGTCCAAAGGATGAGTCTGATGGACTGGTTCAGTATTAAATGTAGCGGGGCCTGTCTGAGGAAGGGCATGCGCACAACAGGTCCCTCAGACATGGCTTAAACCCCCACATACTGGATGCAGTGCTAATGATGCCCCTGGAGACCAAAATAGTCTGACTCCTACATGGTAAGATGTACTGCGCAGTACATTGTCCCCGTCTGATCCAATTCGCTCCCTGGGGAGGATGCTCTATGCAAGCAGCAAAACCTGCTCTATGTATTTCTTAGATGTTGCATTTTAGGATAATAATCTGAAGTAGAAAAGTTGAAATGTCTTGCATTGCTTTCCCTTGTGTTCAACGTGTTAAATTCCACCCCACTTTACTTCATACTGAACATACACTTTGAGTTGTGGGCTCACTTTGAGAGACTTCCTAGACTCCTCTCAGTGTGTGGTATTTTATTTCTGTCATAGCGACATGGCTCACTTGCCAATCCAGATCTCTGGCTCCTTTCCTCTCGGGCAAGCAGACTAAAAGAGGTGTTATTGATGCATTTATGCAACCGCCTGAATATTGATGAACACTAAAGCGACACTATGTCCATATGAATTCAGGCCTCATCACAGGAAAGCCATCCTCATAATATGGAGTGAGGCATGTGAATCAGATAATGATTGAATTTGGAGTAGAGTGAAAGAGTTGGTAATATGATGTAATGTTATAGAGAAAATGTAACAGCAGTCATCCTTTCCAAGCTTAGTAAGTATACATTTTGTAGTCACTGTTAGTTAGAATATGTACCTTACGCTGTCAGTAGGATAAAAATTTAAGTATTTACAAGTCAATCAACGTACTAGATCAATATTTTAATCTAGTCCACAGAGCTTTAAGTGCCTGATCTTAAAAATATTCAGAAGATGAGCTTTAAATTGCAGATGTGCATATGCAGTGAAGGTATGTTGCAAGTGATCTGCAGGGATTTGTGAGCAAAAGGACAAGATGTTCAAGCAGGTTCAGTCTGCCCCATGAAAATGAGCAAAATATGTGTAACGCAGGTAGTTTGAGAGTGATGGTAAAAAAGATGAAGTTCTAAGCTGTGGAGTTGGAATGATAATCTAAAATATGGTATTATAATAATACCATATGATGATATTATCTATAGTGCACATTTGCATAGGCATCTCAAAGTGCTTCAAAGAAAGTAAAAGTTGAATTTAAGAGATTGAATATTAGTTCAGTTCAGTTGAAGTAATGCTAGATTTGGGAAAGGTACGCTTTTTTAGACTTTAATAGTGCCATCCATTGATTGTGGTAGCAGTCAGATACCTAGTTGTATTTCCAACTTTAAGCTCTAAGCTCTTTAAGCTGTTTTGCCTTAAAAGGAAATTGTTTTAAAAAAACACTTTGAGAATGATACCAATACAGTCGAAACAGAAATTAGTAATTTGACATTTAGTTTTTTTTTTTCATTTTTATTTTTGGAGCTGATTTCCTTTTTCCTTTTATTAATGAGTAGTTAACAGAGACCAGTACCGGTAATAAAAACTTATTTTAAATTTCCCAATTTGGTGGACTGCAAAGTGTTCTGCTTCAACATTGGTTTGATTTTTTGCTTTGAATCCAAAAGATTTGCAAAACTCCGCTGGTGCTGTCATCATCAAGTGCTTTGAAAATATCATAAAACAGAAAGCAAAATCATGTCTATGGGAAACAAGGCTATATGAGATACCTTCAGTAAGTTTTCCCCTCAATTTTTTTCTGAAAAACAATTAACAAAATATACAGCTTTGCTACTAATACAGAAAACTAGCCAGCACCAAAGAAGGTGTGTTTACCTCACGATGTACTTATTTAAGGGAGCGATTTACAATCTGGTTCAAAACGGCAGCTGTTTTTGTCCAAACTCATGATCATATTTGAAATGGTTGATTAATTATTATTTATTTACTGAGATTTGAGTTCCCGTCATCTGCCCCATGGCATAAAAACAATCACACAAATATGAAACTTTAAGCGGTAAACTAAAGTAGTATTGGTAAAGAAGGTAACACTATTTGAATCATCATGACGCAGATTAAAAAATTATTCCTGGGAAAGTGTTTTAATTAATGAGAGAGCTATCGACAAGGGCACCATACTATGACTCATGAGCCTTTCCATTAGTCTGTGTGCATATATGCGTGTCTGATGCCATGTGCTCTGTAGGATCAATGCTTGTCGAGGTTCACTGACCTGGAAAGAGCTGAAAAAGCTTTGTTCGGCTATCAATTGGCAGTCTAATTAAAAATTGCTCTCCTCACTTGGAAAAGCTGTATGGTATGGATGCTTAAGAAACTAAGACTTAAACCTTCTGCAAAAACTTCTGCTGTTCTTTAGTTACAGCCTAAGAATATGACTGTCTTTGCCTCAGATAGCAGGGGGCTGTATTGGCACTAAGGGATGCCATCTGTTCAGCCTAGAGTGAAATGTATTGGGCTGCTTTTAGGTCAGGCTTGCACAATAGTGAAACTAGATTGGGGCAGAAATCTAAAAAAAGAGCAATTCACTGAACCGTGTTTCATCTACTTGTAACAACATTTAAAGAGAGGATGTGGCCATTAAGAGTACAGTCCAGCTAATGCACAGAGCCCTTCACACAGACTGCTTTCTGAATCAGAGTCATGGCACAGCTGGACCAGGAAACCCTTAAATCTTGGGACTCTTCTAGCACAATGTTCAGTAATGATCGAGTTCTTGTAGATCGGGTGATAAGCCAGTCCTCCACCAGCTGGTCATCAAGCCCCAATCCCAACAGCAGCAGTACAGCAGGCAGCAGTGGCAGTGAGGACACACCCAGTCTACACAGCTGGAGCTCAGGAGTTACCTGCCTGCTGCACAGCTCCATCAAGAAGCAGAGCCAGGAAGCTTTTCAAACTCAACACCGAAGGGATAGAGCCTGGAGAAGGTTTACTGTAGCTCCAACCAATGGGACAGATCATCTACAGGCTGAGAACGGAGAGGGCCGTCACCATAAAGAGCCTCCCCATGGGAGGGGGTGTACACAACCGGATTTGATTAAAACAGTAAAACCAGTGACAGTGCTGGAAGAGAGGATCAAAGCCAAGCAGAAATTTTCACAGTTCCTGGATGAGGTGACGTCCAACGTGTTGAACCGAAAAAGCCTACAGGAATTTGGAAAACCATTGCCTCCATCTGGACTCACCCCCACAATCCCAAATCTGCCAGAAGACCGGAAGCAAGTGGTGAGCCCCAGGCTGGCCCTATCAATGGCCCAGGAGCAAAAACCTTTATTTAAGCAAAAGACTCCAGAAGATGAGACTTCCTTGCACATGCCACAGAAAATGTATCTGGAAACGGACCTTGACTCCATCGGGAGGGACGATGACCCACAGAACATGGGGATGAAAGCTGTGTCATCCCCTCATCTGGTGATAGACAATAAAACTTTGATTCCACCTCCTCCAGAGTTTTGTCAAGGTTTTGAAATGAAGTTTCCTGTTCGGGAGCTTTGTCACGACTTTCCGAGATACCCTTACAGATCTGTCTCATTGCCCAGAGGCATTAACATGGTGAGTAATGAAACTCCTTCCAGTGGTAATTAGGGGAAGGCCTCTGAACATGTTATTAGAAGAAGAAATAGTTTTTCCTAAAATGATGTCCAAATTATTCAACACTGAATTATCCATAGAAGCAGTCCTTCATTTTTATGGTGCTTTTCTGCTTTAATATTTATCATGTAAATAAGTACAGATAAAAATTCACAGAGCCTTCAAAAGTACAGGGGCAAATAAGAGAAGAAATTTAATTCTAATAAAACAGATGTGAAAATATAATTGATTAAATCCTTTTTCGCAATAGACTTTTGTCCACATTGTTTCTTTTTGTGCCACAGACTCACTGGATATACATTGAAGCTATTCACATAAAGTTTTTTCTCTACTTCTAATATGACAGTAGTTAGTGCAATTACGCATGTCAGACAATCAAAAATACAGATTGAATGCAAGGGGAAAGAATAATATACCTCAATGAAAACTTTGTAGTATTAGTAGTTTATTTCTTCAGTCATCATTCAAACATTATAAACACTTAGAACATGTTATTTTACGAATGGCAAATGCTAAACAATGCCTTAACAAAAGGGTTTAGGCTAAAGTTGAAACTCATAATGCTTAACCCCACTTACAAATGTAACACTACACCCAAAAATGGTATATCGATTGCTCTACCAATGACTGTAACGTATATGCACAAAACATAAGCTTAAACAATCAAAATTATGCTGATAACTTATTTTTTAATAACCTTCATTCAAGTGTTCTATACTTTTCCATAATATTTGAACAAAACTATTCATGCATTTTTTTAAATGCATGAATAGTTTTGGAGCACTTAAGTTGATTATGTAAACCATTCCACAGATCAACTCCTTTAACTGATAAACACCTCCTATTCGTATTAGTCCTCGCCTTAGGCTTTTGTAGCAGATCAGTCCCTCTGAGGTTGTATCTGGATTCTATAGTTTGAAACGTCTCTTGCAAACAGTAAGGAAGCATTAGGTTGTGCATCTTGTACATTATGACCGCTGTATTAAGATCAACCAGATCATGTAATTTTAAGATATTCAATCTAATAAAAAGTTGATATCTTGGAGCATGGTATTCTGCATAGCTGATCACTCTGATTGCTTTCTTTTTTAGTAAGAATATTGGTTGTAGATTAGTTTTATAGGTATTCCCCCATATTTGCACACAATAACTAAGGTATGGAAGGATGAGAGAATTGCACAGTAAGCACAAAACATTTTCAATTTTGATCTCTACTTTGACTAGGCCACTCTAACTTACCAATTGATTGTAATCTAAAGTTGTTCCCAGCACTCTTTGTGTTTAAATATAATTTCCTTTTAAACATAGCTGCGCAACTCCCTTAACAGCATTGGCTGAAGTTACACAGCAGTGTTTTAAAACAGCCATTGGTAAGCTGTGCTCTCCAGCAGTTGAAGAACACACAAATAAGCTGTCATCAGCACACAAACACCTTATTACATTAATCTTTTTGTTGCCCTACAAATAAGCATTAATCTTTATTTGTTTGACTTCAAGCTCTCTCTCCAACCCCTAACACAAGTTTTAATTAATATTCCTGTGCCACTGCTAAAAGTAACTCAACAATTGACACTTTATATTGTTGTTTTTGAAGCTTTTAATATTGTTTTTCTCACCAACAAGACTTCAGAAAATGAAAACAGCTCTAATAAGAGTAAAGAAAAGAAATAATCTTAGACTTCCCATGGCTGTAAAAAGGATCACCCCAGGTGATATGTTCAGAGCACCCATTGGATAAATGGTATTAGGGTGGCCATTTCTATAGCACGAAAAAGGAGGACATTATGCGGCATATCAATAAACTACTAAGGTGTAAAAAATAATCTAGTATACCGTCATTTATATTACAATTTTTAGGGGCTTAAAGAGGATGCCTTTGTAGCTGAACAGGAAATATTAATGAAATGTAAAAAAGTATTGGTTCCCAGTAGGGCAAAAAAAATTATCGGAATAATAGCGATTAACGATTGTTGAAATAATCATCAACTAATTTAGTAATCAATTCATCGTTAGCTTGTTGAGTGTAGAGGCTCTAAAAAAGGCCTTCAGTGCACTAATTATACCAACTTTGTAAGAAAAAAAAAAAACATTTTGCATTTAAGATTAAAAAAAAAACGTATTTGTCTGTTAATATGTTTTATCCAGAACGCCTCAAGTTTTAGTTTCACCTGGTTTAATTTAGTAGAATATCTTTTTTAAAGAGCCTTTGGTTATCTGATTATTAATCAGTTAATTGGAAAAATAATCAACCGATTAATGGATTTTCAAAATAATCGTTAGTTGCAGCCCTAGTTCCCAGTATTTGTACTGTATTTATTTAATTAATTATGATGTTCAAAAAGTGACCGCTGAGATTAATCTTTTAAAGCGCAGCACGCCAGAAAGTATAACGTGTGGGCTTAAATGTTAAAAAAATTATTTAAAGGGTAAAATACATAATAAAAAAGCCTAATATTTTATTTAAAAAAATATGTCAGTGTATAACTTGTACGTTGTTTACTAAACAATGACAATTTGATATTTATCTGATGCTGCACCTCTTTTAACCAATCATCTGTTAGACCAGATAGTCAATGCATTTTTTTTTTTTTACATTCTATGATTGGATAATGTGCTGCAGCCCAGCATAAATGGAAAAAAAATCTTGTGCCCCGTAATGGAGGACAGCTAGGCATCCGACTGGATGCTGCACAGGACACTGGACAGTGCAATAAAAATCCGGACTGTCCGGCCCAAAGCAGGACATCCAGCCACCCTAGATGGTATCGATCCAAACTGATTTGTTGCAAGCTGATACGCTTTCTTGAAAATGTTTCAACACAATACTTTTTTTTTTTTTTTTTTTACTGCTTTATGTTGGTTAGTCCCACAAAAATATCAATAAACGGCATCCAAGTATATGGTTGTAAGATGATGAAATTTAAAAAAGGGGTCTACATATCTTTTCAAGGGTCAATAAAGAGCTTTAACGACAACAACAAAATAGCAAAAAAGCATTATTTTGAAAATGGTCACACATCTGACATAAAGCTAGAGGAAAACCAGCCAAAGTAAAAAGAAATAATCTAATATCTTCAAAAGGTCTGAAGAAACAATAGGCAAGACCAAATTACTATTTAATTATGTCAGAGTACCTGAAAGATTTTTACATGCATACAAAAAAGGATTGCAATCATGTGTACATCAGTGTTGCATTAGCACATTCATGCAGCAAAATACTTCGATTTCTATCTAGCTACAGTAAATTCGTCAAACAATACAACAGCTAGCACTGCAGCTTAGCTTGACAACCAGGTGAGGCGAATATGGGTCTGTACATAAGAACTGCTCAGCGATGACCATCGGCGGCCCATTTATGGAAGATCTCATTAGAATTCTCCCCATCAACAACTCCTCCGCACAAAACTATCCGGACTGAACAATGCATTCATCTACCAACTCAGCCCACTCACTCCTGTTTGTTTGTGACATCCATCATCTACTCAGCTGAAGATGTAACCTTGTTAAAGAGCCATGGCAGCAGGGAAGTTTTCTTCTGAAGCAACCAGTGCTTCTACACTCTCAAAGCTGTTTACACAGGGACAGGCCTGAAAGGCTCAATCAGCAGTTACTGCAATAAAAACGAGTGTATTTGCAGTCTCAGTGTGACATTCACCCCCAGTGGTACATGATAATCCATTTGGCTTCAGCTTCCTTGCTTCAGAATGCAAATTGCTTCACTCGCTATAAGCACAGAAGTGTGCTGTTCCACTCGCTCCCTGTACGAGGTAAAGCAACTCCTTGCCTGATCTGTAGCCTAGCCACTGTTTCCGCATTAACCCTAAACACACCTGACAGGATCGTCCAATCTGCTCCGCTCCCATTTAATACTAAAGGGAGAAGATCGCATTGCCTTAATTTATTGTCTGATTAAAATTCAGCCTTTGCTGTCACCTTAGCAACTGCTTGGGAAAAAAAGGTGGGTGGTGAGGGGGCTGCGAGGCAGGCTTGTGAGCCTGTTGGTGTTCAGAGTATCTGTGGCGCTGCGAACTTTCATTTCCTCGCAGAAGTCCTTGTACTTGTGCAAACGTGCTAATGAAACAGACAGCTTCTGCAGGTGTCTGACCTTCTGTTGTGTACACATTCTGTGTTTTCGATTACTTTTCAAGCTGAGGAGCAAATAATCCATCTGCATTGTTGCCTCTTTGAATGAGAGACTCTCTACTTATTAAATATGCTATTCATTCGTGTTTTGCCTTTGTCCCATAATAAATACAGAGTGACACTAACAATAAGGGGTAATGAAGTATTGATTTTCACACCAGGATTTTATAAATGAAAAAGATTTATTTTTTGTTTATTTTTTGTAAACTGAAGTTTTATGTGTGTGTGTGTATGTTAGTGCTACTTTATGGGTATTTGGATACAGAATCAAGCTGATTGATTCCCTAAAAATAAAATTTTTTCCGACTTTCCAGACTGTAGATATTAATTCTACCTAACTCCATCCACTGTTAACTGAAGAAAGGCTGAAGACTACACTGTATGTAGTTAACTGGTAGCTCTGGGCTTACTGACAATCTATGATTGATTTTGAAGCTGTTTTAAAAAAAAAAACATTGTTTGGACTTGAAAACATCATAAGCACACTCATCATGATCCAGAACTGACCCATCGCCCAATACACCATAAAAGACTTCAACATTGCAGTTGAAGTATTGGATTTGCATCTGACTTGGAATGTGCTTATTTGTTCTGCAGATTTCTTGATATAAATTTCACTTACCGGTACATCCTTGGACTGGGGACCTGTCCAGGGTGTACCCCGCCTCTCGCCCGTAGACAGCTGGAGATAGGCACCAGCAACCCTCGCGACCACATTTGGGATTAGTGTCATGGAAAATGTCTGTCAGTCAGTCAGTCACCTACCTACTGTACCTACTTACCTTTTGGCCTTGCAAGTCAGGTTTCTTCTGGTAGAAGTCTCTGGAAGAGCTGACCAATGTGACATTTGCATCCTGCACCCATATCTCCAAGGCTTCAATCTTCATCTTTCTCTTGTCACTTACACAAAATCCTCATGGATAAGGGTAGTTTGCACAACTTTTAAACTTGCTATTAATTTACTATGCAGCCTAAGCAGATCACCCACAACATAGCCACCAAAAGCGCATGTGATTTTTCAGCTTGCTCATGCAATTTAGAGTTTGATATTGAGATCTTAGTAAACAAAGTCCATATTATGTACATATTCACAGCAACACACTATAACTCCAGCACCCTAAAATACAAATATATAGGAATAAGGGAAGAACAACCAATTAAGTGCTGTACTCTTTGTGGATATGATAACAGTAAGGCGGTCCTTTTTTAAAGATATTACCCATACAATGTCAGATCCTTTAAAAAATATTGCATGCACAAGTCAAAAGTCAAAATGTTTTTTAATTAAAAGTCATCATTCACAAAAGAAAACCTGAAGCCTGTCTTTTTAGTGATAAATTCAGCTGCATGGCGCAAATGTTTGTATTAAGAAAAAAAAAGCGAAATAAAATGTTGCTATTGATTTCATGTATTATCAAACCTTGTGCTGCACTACAGTCTACAAAGCCATTGATCCTGAATTGTAGCTTAAAAAACTGCTGTGCTCCTATTCAAATTTGACTCCAATTTTTCCCCTGTTGAAGAATCACCTGTAGGCAACTATAATAAAATGCATTTTCCCAACAGCCTGGAGCTGGAGATGTAAAATTCAACAGATTGAACCACCTGTTCCCCCCTGTCTCATTCTCCTTTTCTCTGCATCTTTTCACATCCTCCTCTCCTCTCCTCTTTTTCCACCTCAACCAGCTCCAACTCTGACAGGGATACTGAGTTACTGCCAGAAGTACATTAAGGGGGTGGTAGCAAGTGTTGTGGAGGTGGGGGTTGGAGTGGTGGGAGCATGCCATGTATTTGCAGTCTGGCTGCAACAGAGGGTCCCGCTCTCCCTCCCCATCCTTCCTTTACTTCCTCTTGCTTTCACACTCTTGGTGATGATATGATTGTTCGCTTCTCACCTAAAGTGAGTGCAGATGTAGAAATCTGCACTCACTCATCTGATGAGTTCTGTCACGAACAGGAGTGGGGGTGAAAGTAGAGAGGAATTATTTAAAATAGTGACAGAACAACATGGGGCTAAATGATAAAAACGGATTTCCATAAAGTAAAATAAGGGGGAAAACCGAGGGAATGCCTGCTGAGTTTGTAGATTTGGTTTGTCTTTGGATGAGTGCGTGAGCTGCAGAAATGCCCTACTTGGCTGCTTTTAGACCAGTTCTGATGGGTCTCCTCCTCCACTAACATGCTGTCATTTCCTTTAGCTGTCTGACGAGGAGATAAACAACATAGACCCTATCAGGTAAGGTTCTTCTTCCTCCATCTCTTTCTCTCTCTCCCTCCCCCTCTTCTGCTCATATCTTTTCAGCGCTCCATCATCACGCCCCCGCATTCTCCCAGTCTTTTTCCTTTAGCTCCTTCCCTCCCACTCTTCCTTTCTGTCTTTCCACTCCTGCACAGTCTATCTCCCTCCTCTGCCTTTCTCTTTTGGTGTATAGCTGCCACTGCTGCTGCTGGTGGTGCTGGAGTGGCATGGCGTGGTGTTGGCAGCAGCTCTGCATGTGTTGAGGTTTTCTCTGAGCTTTAAGGGAGAGCTGGGTAAGCCAGTCCAGAGAGCACATAGGAGTGGGGGGGCTTCCTCCATCCCCAGCGAGACTCAGAGCCAGCAGGATTTTTATCTCCCTGTCTCCAGGATGAGGCTGTGTGTGAGCAGAAGGTACCGCTTTGCTTTTCGCATCTTTGATTTGGATTACAAAGCTCTCTTGTTTTTCAAATATCTTTGTTTATATTCTCATTTTAGTGTTACGTGGCTGCACCAGATGCGCTGCTCATGTAAAAGATGCATGTTTTCTGATAGTTTGTTGAAGATAAAAGGTTTTTTTTGAGAGACTGGGCTGGAAATTTACCGTTTGTAATATGGTTGTATCATAATACCCTCAATTATTTAAAGAAAAAGATTTGAAGTTTATCTTGCATTTATAATGGTTATAAAACTGTTACTTCTGTGTGTCTTTCTGCATGCTTTTACAAACTCACCTGTCGGAATATGCTGATTAATGTCGCTGCATGACAAGGAAGTTATATTTCTAACTATATATCTAAATGTGAATGAGTTGGACTCTAACAATGACTAACTAGAACATCACAGTTTAAATATATTCTAATGAACTCCTTATGAAATTATGCGTCATCGTTCTGATTAACGTTATCTTTAGAAAATTATATTAATTTAAAGGATTTAATTTAATCCACTCTTCATCTTGTTTTTTTTTCCACTTACCTTTCTACTGTTGAAGAGTTTTATTCAACACAATTTCTAATGAACCATTACTAATCCGCCACAGATAGTAAAAGATCCCAAGATTTTCCATTCTTGTTAGATTACTGGTGGTATTATTGCGATTTTAGGCAGATTATGATTCAAACGCCATTTAAGCAGCCAATGAAGGGTAATTAATCTTGACGGGAAGGGGAAGGGGAGAAGGGGGGTGGGATCCCTAATGTGGGGCATCAATTGTCCTCACCTCTGTGTCATTGCTTTAATTGAATTATAGTAGCTCTACAGAGATAAGAGTCTTGCATCTTTTAACCTGTAGCCCAGGAAGAAGCCAAGTTAAGGTTAATGGGGAAGATAGACCTACCTTATAGTCTGACCCCACCTTTGTATTCCACCTCGTAACCCCCTCCCCCACACACACACACACACACACACACACACACACACACACACGCTCTTCCTCAGATGAAGTAATTACTAAGACGCCTTCCAGCCAAAATGATGAAATGTCTTGAAATTTTTTTCCCAAAGCCTTGCTTTCTGCCTCTTTCATAATTCCTGTCCCTCCCTCAGCCCAGCTCCTGTATTCGGAGGCCTGTGGCAAAGATAGAGATGTAAATTTTAACTGGCGACACACTTGAGCTTTGGAGCCCCGGTGCAGGAAAGTCACCAACTGTTTAAATCCGTTTAAACAGATTTAAAGTTTGAAAGACTTTTTTCTTTATTATTATTCTGACAGGGTGACAAAAAGCATGAAGTATTTTAAAGAGAAACAGACTTTCTAAAAGCGTCAACTTGAGGGTAATTGGCAGTTGAGAAAAGTGATGCTTAGGGGAAGAAATATAAGCTGTTTTTATTTTAAGTGTTTTCCCTCATTAAGTTCCTTTTTGTTTTCTCATGAAATAGATACGTAGATTCATTGTTATTAATCCCTTTAATTTCTTTTGTTGCTCTTTTTCTTATTACTTTCTTTAAGTAATAAAAAAAATCTTTCTGAAATCTCTATGAAACAAATCCCAGGTTTGTTTCAAAGGATTTAACTTTTATTTCTGCATGATTTTTAAAAAATTTTACTAATTAAAATCTAAAAACATTTTTGCCAGAATTTGAATTCAGCCTGCCTGCATAAAACGGTTTATGCAGCTGTTTACCTTTTGTTAAATCTAAGAGTCCAAGTTTTTCTTGTTATTCAACTCTGCCCATCAACTCTTGTTTAGCGTTCTTTTCCCTGCTTATGAGGTAACTTTTCAAAGTATTTGCTGCCACAAAACTTTATTTAAGGGGATCAGACTAAAGATTAGCAAGCCACACTTATACCACTTGTAATTTGTGTGGAAGTAAAAACAAGGCATAATTTTGTGTTGAAGTGGTCGTTAAAATTTATGGTTGTGACCAAACAAACTGTAAAAAGTAAATGCCTCTGCAAAGCACTGACAGATTAAAAAAAATTTTATTGGTTAATTACATATATATCGATACAGGCAAAGCAAGGTCATTTATTTACAAAGTTTGAGATCCACTGACTGAAAAGGCAGCAGTGAGAGTACATGTCTTTTCACAGTGATTAAAACTTTCAATGAGCACACCATGCCATCTTTTTAGATTTACATTGTTTTCCTTTAAAAACATTCCGATAAAGGTGCTTTCACTTTCTTTACCTTCATTTTTTTACACAACGCCTGAAAAATCACCTGCAGAAAATGTAAGGAAGTCCTTTCATACTTTAGGCACACGACAGGAAATTATGTTCATCGGATGCATTCCCTCTACAGGGAACACTTGGCTCAGTGTTTGTGATGCAGTGGGCTGGTTGGAGTGTGCAGGAAGCATAAGATGCTAAAAGAAGTCTGTCTCTTTGTTGTTTTTCCTGGTTATTATTTCCCTTGTTATCTGCATGTGAAAGACTCTCCATATACTAAAGTTAAACAGTACTGGATCTCACTCAAATGTTCAGTCTAGCATCACATCCATTTTGCACACTTGAGCTAATGGTGTAAAGCGCTTGCTTTCACCCCAACTGAATCAGACATTGGAACTCACAGTATACAGCAAAGATCAATTTACCAACACACACATTTTTTTTACAAGGGAGCTGACAACCTATTTATGTTCAAATCAGACAGACAAAATGTTTGAAGCCTAACATATTGGCTTCTTAGGTGGTGTCCTTTAAATTAAGGGTCAACTATGCAATAGTAGCTTTGGTGATAGAAAACTGCATATTGCAAAATCATCTTTTAAAGTAAATCACAAAAAGTTAAAAGACAGTTCTAGTTAATGAACTAAGTATGAAATCATCTTCACAATTTCCCTCAAAATATAGAAAAATAATGACTTCCTGTTAATGGTAATTACCAATGTAAAAACTGTGTGAGTATAGATCAAACAGCTTGCCTACAGGGATAACATCAGAATAATATTCTTAAGCAGCTCAGGCATAGTGTCCTAAGTACGGACCAAGCTAACGCCACAACCTAACGTTCGTTCCGAACTGAGCAAAAAAAAAATTTGTTTTTAAAGAAATTCATATAGCAAATTCTTAAATTTGTGAAGAACACCAAAGTACATGGTCAGTTCCACCTGTTTGTCACAAGATATTAAATTTAACATATTAAAAGATTATCCTGAATTAATGCACTTTATTTTTTACCTTTTTAAGACATTTTGTCTAAATATACTGTGGAACATTTTAGAACCACATTCTGCCATCGTGCTGTAGGTCTCCTTTTGGTCTGTTTTGGTTTCAGTTGATTTCCCTTCTTTTATTTTTTGGTAATTTTTTTAATTATTTAGTTTTTGTCAATGATTATTTTATTGTCTGTTTTCCCCTCATTTGCTCCTAACTTTCTCTCTGTGCTACACCTTTCTGTTTTTCCTTATCCTATAGTTAACTAGCCTGTCTAACATTCCAGTAATTACCATGCACAGCATATCTTCCTCTCATTTTGAATAAGTCTTTTGTCATTTTTTCTCATGTATCAGTCTGTTTTCTGTTTCCTATTTGTTTTTGTTGCTGTTTGATTTGTATGTATTTATTTTATATCTTATTATTATATTCTTTATAGAATAATTATTTATCATAAACTACCCTGCCTCTTATCTGAGTTATGTTTCCCAAAAACCTTGCATCCTAACTCTTAATGCTGATGTTCTATGACAAACCCAGACCTGCATTATTTATATCCATCCATCCATCCATCTTTCTCCGCTTATCCGGGGTCGGGTCGCGGGGGCAGCAGCTTAAGAAGGGAGGCCCAGACTTCCCTCTCCCCAGCCACTTCTTCCAGCTCTTCAGGAGGAACCCCAAGGCGTTCCCAGGCCAGCCGAGAAACATAGTCTCTCCAGCGTGTCCTGGGTCTTCCCCGGCGCCTCCCCCCGGTGGGACGTGCCCGGAACACCTCACCAGGGAGGCGTCCAGGAGGCATCCTAAACAGATGCCCAAGCCACCTCAACTGGCTCCTCTCGACGTGGAGGAGCAGCGGCTCTACTCCGAGTCCCTCCCGGATGACCGAGCTTCTCACCCTATCTCTAAGGGAGAGCCCAGCCACCCTACGGAGGAAACCCATTTCGGCCGCTTGTATCCGCGATCTCGTTCTTTCGGTCATGACCCAGAGTTCATGACCATAGATGAGGGTAGGAACGTAGATCGACCGGTAAATCGAGAGCTTCGCTTTTTGACTCAGCTCTCTCTTCACCACGACGGACCGGTACAGTGCCCGCTTCACGGCAGACGCTGCACCAATCCGCCTGTCGATCTCCCGCTCCCTTCTTCCCTCATTCGTGAACAAGATCCCAAGATACTTAAACTCCTCCACTTGGGGCAGGACACCCCCCCTGACCCGGAGAAGGCACTCTACCCTTTTCCGGCTCAAGACCATGGCCTCGGATTTGGAGGCACTGATCCCCATCCCGGCCGCTTCACACTCGGCTGCGAACCGATCCAGCGAGAGCTGCAGATCACGACTTGATGAAGCCAACAGGACCACATCATCTGCAAAAAGCAGAGACGCAATCCTAAGGCCACC